AACGGGCCCCCGGGGCTGAATTATTAAAGACCGTGGTACCGTTAAGGTCCAACGTTATCGATCTTTTTATCGGTACTGGAGACATTAAAAAAATAGATGTCATATGTATTATTGCTACATAAACATTATATCGCAGTCTTAGTGTTGCCAACTCCTTTTCTAATATGCAATAAGACTACAAAATGTGTCTATACGTATTTTCGATTTTAACAATCCAGACGAGAGATCTCTCCCCTGTCGGTGGGGGTGGGGCAGTTTGCAGTACACACCCACCACACGCACACGCGCACACACCACACACACACACACACAACTAAGCGCCCTGAGGTGTGGATATGTTACCCGTCTTGAGCATGGATGTATAATAAGAACTGGAGGCGGGGTCTCGTTCCTATGAGAGCTGCTCATTGGCGCAGGAAGTCAAAATGGCCCAACTTTTGAGAGCGAAACGTCACAGATTACCCGTCATGCCTGGCTGTCAGAGCAGAAGAACCCGTGGCCGTTTCTCAATCTCGAGGATGCTGGCTTGATAGTCGCGTACTTTCAAGTCACTTCCTTCAGAAACGAAGCAAGTATACTTCCAAGCCACGGGCCGTTTCTTCAATCGCGAGGAAACTGGCTTCCAAGCCAATATTTCAAGGATACTACGTCATCGAGTGCCGCCGAAGGACTGTTCCAATCTCCAGCATACTTGGAATTCCACCGAGGCCGCGTCCTTGGTTTGGGGGTAATTTCGAGGCTGCACATGGGTAGACTTCGCGTCCTTCAAATCCCCACAATGCTTTGCGCACGGACCAATTTCCCCAAATCTGTGGAGGAAAATGTAAGGCGGGTCCTCTCATATGACGCACACCTGCACACTTGCTAGCCTGTTCCACTCTTCGTTTTCCGAATGCCAGGAAGGATTCTTGCCTCGCTTCTGAAGCAAGTGACTCGAAAGACATGTGCTACCAAGCAAGCATCCTCGCGATTGAGAAACGGCCGCGGCTTCGGAAAACGAAGAAGAATGGAACAGGCTAACAAGTGTGCCACTCTCTCTAACGGTTTCAACATAAACTTTACCGAAAATAAATACCCCACGATGTCTAATTATGAACTTGCTTTACTTTCACGGAACACATTTTGGTGATAACAAACAAATGTAACAAAGCAACACATGTTCTACGCCACTACATAATTACTTTTAAATGTGTGCTGCGTCGGTTCAGCAATTCTCCGCAAGGGTTTTTGAAATTGGTCCGTGCGCAAAGCATTGTGGGGATTTTAAGGACGCGAAGTCTACCCATGTGCAGCCTTGAAATTTCCCCCAAACCAAGGACGCGGCCTCTGTGGAATTCCAAGTATGCTGGAGATTGGAACAGTACTTCGGCGGCACTCGATGACGTAGCATCCTTGAAATATTGGCTTGGAAGCCAGAATCCTCGAGATTGAGAAACGGCCCGTATGGGTGCACAGAGCATGCACCCCTTAAGCCCTGCCTCCTGTCATTAAGCCCCACCCCCGAGCTCCCACTCTTGGCTCACTAGAATGAATGAGAGAGAAAATAAATCTAGATTAGGCTTTTAGTGCATTTTACAACTTTAAGGAGCGAATGATTCTATTTTAGACGATTTTGATACTCTGATCTTTTCATTTATTTTCAGTTTGCTTCAAGCAGTGGCTGTACCAGAAAGACGTGGAGGACCAAGAAATGTTGGCCAGATTGGCAAAGACCGGAAGATACATAACAGAGAAGATAATGGATATTAACATGAAAAAGAAAAAAAATACGTAATAATTTTGGAGAAACCAGCTCGAGTGCACTAGAATTTGAAAATACACAGCCGGAAAAAATCTGTTACTTCCTTACAGAGCCCCTCCTCCAACACACACGAACGCGCACATGACCAATGAGGGCACGAGATAAGTTTGTGCACAGATGGAAGGCTGACAGGCAGGTAGGCCATCCAGTTATTTTAGCCGGGCCGGCTAAAATGATTGGTCGTGCTTTTTACAGTACTACGGCTTCCACAGATGAAATTTTGTTATGGATTTTTTTTGTCAAAGCACTTAAGATATTCATTGCTATCGAGATGTTAAGAGCATTCCATGGAATATAACAAAGTGTATCTCGAGCCGGTTTCTCAAACTTACCTACCCCACTTTTAACATTTTTTAATAATTTCTTTGTTGCTATTTCAATTTTGAATTATATATTTATTTAGATGTAGGTTTTTTTTGTAATATACACACGGGAATGCTGGTCTACAGGTGCTAATCAACCTGGATCTAAGCAATATACACACACAACCCTATACTAACACAGAACCCGACGATACGCTGCTAATCAGTGTAGCTGACACAGAATACACACGGCTAAACAGTCTCAGAAGTCACAGAACGAAGGCAGTATCACAAGGAGAGGCTTGAGGCGTCTGTCACACAATACAGAGCCTCCGAATGCCTCCCATTATATCTGTGCCCAGCCTTTATACTCCTCCCCCGGATGACGTGGCAGAAGCGGGCAGGGCTTGGGTGACGTCTGTCCAATCCCCGCGGATGTTGCGAGGTCGAGACGGCCACTGACAGCATAGGAACTGCACAGCTCATTTGCGCACACACACACACACACACACACACACACACACACACACACACACACACACACACACACACACACACACACAGAGTTAAGGGCACAAGGTAGCAGCGGCTGTAACAATTATTATATTGTTAATGTATAATTTATTAAATAAAAATACTGTTATGAACACTATACAATGTCTTTATTTTGATAGTTACCAGAATACATTGTGTATTTAATACTAACATAAGCTGGTGATAGATACATAGAGTTATCCAGTGTGTCCTGTGTTGTTGGCAGCTCTCGGAAAACAGAAAAAGATATGGAAATGCTAGCTGTTTCAACTTCAAGTGTACAACAGATAACAAACTAACATTGCCATCCCTAGAACCCCGCTGCTAGTATGAGGTCCAGAATCCTCAGATGTATATCAGTCGAGCATAACCTGAACATTAAACGGAAGGCGGTTTGGAAAAGTGGCTGAAAACGGTTTTGCAGGGTATGTTTTTTTTCCTGGTCTATTCTTTTCTAAATAGCACTTTTGGACATCACAACATCCACATTTACACAAAGTGTGCTTGCAACTTGATGCTTATGCTTCAAAAGTATTGCTCTGGTTGTCTTTTAAAAGACTCCCCCCATCTGCTTCACTAGAGCACCTTTCTGCAGCTTCTGTGTAGTTTCAAGAACGCTTCCTGACTCACTGTAGTACTAGTATTCTCAGCTTTGTTTATGTTTCTCTTTCAACTTCTTCATCATATGCTTGAGCTTATAATTCTGTGTTTTTTTTTTTTAATGAAGGTTTACTGAGTTGTCTGGAAATGATGCTAAGTAAAACCTTATATATATATATATATATATATATATATATATATATACAGTCTATGAGTTAAACCTGGAAGCTCTGAAGATCTAAATACAGGGGTAAGAAATGACATTGAAACAACTTCAATGGTATATTCTCCCGGGAAAGCTTCACAAACTAGGAAAAGTTCTAAAAAGTGTCTGTGTATTGTGGCACATACAGATTTCTGCAACAGGAACTAAAGGCAGAAGCAAATAAGGACCAACCTATAAGAGGTGTGTGTCTGTTGTCCACCAGGGGGCAGAGTTTAGCCGCCCTTTGAGACTGCTGTTTAGCTTTAGAAGAAGAAGAATTCAGTTTCCACTCTGTCGTACACACACACGCGTTTTTATACAGGTACTTTAGTGGTCTAAACTGTAGTAAAGCTTGTTTTTAATTACATTTAAAATACATTAATTGAAGTTTGATTAAGGTTACAGACTGATAAAACTGAAATCTGCATAATGAAATAGTTGTGTGCCAATGTTATAGCCAGGACTTACATTTCCAGCAAGACACATACAACTGTAAATAATTAAAGGGTACAATGATTGACAGGGCACTTAATCCAATCATAGAATTCAGGATTGTGGTCAGTCACTGCAAAGACAAATATGGTCTAAAGTTCCAAGAAGAAATTCTTTCGGGCAGTTTTTTTGGACATAGACTGAGACAAACAGATCTAAATATTTGCTAATCTTGATTTCATTTGAAATGGCGTGCAAATACAGACGGATTAGACTGTTTGTGTGTTACCACGTGAGGAAATGATGCCACTCATCAGGGCTGCTAAATCAGAAACAGCTCAATCTCAAGGAAAGGGTTTTCTTCAGTGTTTTCCCAAGTCAAGTTTCGGGGTAAAAATGGGACAAATCTGCCACACTGAGGCGCTTTGTGGCCTTGAGAACAGCTTCACCCTCTTCAAACCAGTCACAGCCGGAGCCCCAAACGAAGAAGATTAATGTTTTGCACATGGATGATTGGCAGCTATTTATTTGAGAACCAATTCCAATGTGCTCTTTCAGTGCAGGACTTTGAGGTCCTGGGATATTTTGGAAATCTGTCTGTGTTTAATTAGGCTCTTAATATAAACACTGTCCACGTCACACTGAAGGGCCCGCAAAACAATTTCATACCCGATCCCTCAGGAGAGAAACTTCATAAGTAGAGACCACAAACTGATGTGAGGTCACCAGTAAAAATATAGAGGTAAAATACTCTGCGTCCTTTTTTTGTTATGGATACCGTATGTAATTGTGGACTTTAATGAGCTTTAATTAGCTCATTAATCAAAGTGTCCTCCTCTCTTCCCTGTTATTGCTGCTGTAAGTGCATGTGCTGCAATGTGGCAGCAGAGGGCGCTGTGGTACTGTTTAAAGGCAGCTAGTGTGATACAATGACTTACAAGCTCGTGACACTCATGGATGATGACGACGATAATGATGTTGATGATAATGATGATGCCTACAAATAAATAAAACAATGTTAAATTGTTTTATATTTACAGTAATATTGTATAACTGCTACATGGAGTGCTAGATTTCATGTCCAAGAAATGCAACATTTAGACCTTTTTCTCAAGCCATGTGCCTGGTCAATCAATCAATCAATCAATGTTTATTTATATAGCCCAATATCACAAATGTTACATTTGTCTCAGTAGACTTCACAATTTGTACACAAATATCAGTATGACAATACGACACCCTCTGTCCTTAGACCCTCACATCGTACAAGGAAAAACTTCCGGAGAAAACCCACAGTTTAAAGGGGAACATGGGAGAAACCTCAGGGAGAGCAACAGAGGAGGGATCCCTCTCCCAGGACGGACAGACGTGCAATAGATGCCGTGTGTAAATTGAAAAGATAATACATTTGCAACATAGGTAGTCCAAATGTTTGGAAATGCATGTGTCTATAATAGGAAGATGAATCCACAAGGATATCCATCCAGGACCACAGCCACGACTCAAGATCCAGGGCTCGCGATGCAGGACACAGGACCGCAGGATCATGCATGACTCCGGATCCCGGCGTATATAGACACCAAAAAGAAAGACATTTGGGGAAGCTGGGTTAATCGGAACATGAGAGTACACAGGTATAGACAGAGAGAAGGAAGATGTCCCCCGACAAACTAAGCCTATATCAGCAGAACTAGGGGCTGAATCTAATCAGCCCTAACTATAAGCTTTATCAAAAAGGAAGGTCTTAAGCGCACTCTTAAAAACGGATAGGGTGTCTGCCGCCCGAACACAAACTGGAAGCTGATTCCACAAATGTGGAGCTTGATAAGAAAAGGCTCTGGCTCCCATTGTACTTTTAGAGACTCTAGGAACAACCAACAACCCTGCATTCTTGGAACGCAATGCCCTAGTAGGACAGTAGGGTATAATGAGTTCGGCGCGTCCACCGACTCCAGAGGGTTAAGGTAAGATAATGGTCGACTTTTGCTAAAGACCCAAATGTATACCTCACGCATTAACTTTAACACCTTGACATCCAAGTTGTTTCTTGGGACAACCTTTTGTGTTGTATAAGGCTTCAATGCACAGATCCTGTATTTGCTCTCTTTGTCTCACCAAATGTAAAACTAGTATAATTGTCAGTCTTCAGTTTGTGAAAAGCATCTTAAAAAAAGTGATGCGTTTCAAATGTCAGATCATCACTAAAGTCTCAAAATCTATTTTCATGATATCAAATTCCATCGGTTTTTTGTTTGAATTTTTAGAATAAACCATTTATAAATTGAAAACTTTGCCTGTAGAGATATATTACATATTTAACACCCAGATGTCCTGTAGACAAGGCTTCACAATACAAAGCATAGCAAAAAGTGGTTATGCTTTTGTGAGTATAGTGAGTAAGATAAGTCAGCCTAAGATAAGATCAGAATGCAAGTATTTTAGTGTACTTTTCGTTTCCACTTTTGGTTTAATTTCATGCTAATTTTTTTCAAGTCTTTCTTCCAACACTGGTCAATACAGTCGATAGTAAACAATACATTAAAAGTGCCAATCTGTGATGACGAGGTGCATCCATCATGTACTTCCATTGCCTGCCCACTGGGTGGCAGGAGTGTGTCGTACATTAAGAGAGGGACTACTACACAAACCTTCAGCTTTTCTCTCAAGCAGGAACTTCTGTCCAATACAATTATGATTAAATTCTCATAACCATTCATTCTTAGGAAACTCACATGACTGTTACATTATCAAAATATTCACACGTTGGATTCGGTGTGTTATTTAATCCAATATTTTATCTCAGGAAGTGGTTGGTTTTCATTGGAATCTCTTCAATGACAGTTGGATGGGAGTGCTTCAGATATGAACGGGTTTGTAGGCTACTCTAACAAATGCCAGGATTCATTAATAATAAAATAAATGTATCGTTGTAAAAAATATGTTATCACACACGAGTTCAACGTCGAATGAGCCCACC